CAAAAAGCGATTATTAATTGATTTTCCTCAGAGATTCTTACTATTAATAAGTGATTGAATGAAAATTATTAATTAATAGCGACTTTCATTGCGTTGTTGAACGTAATCATAAAGTTTTCTAAATATAGTGTATCTATTATAAGTTATGATTTAAAAACTCATTATTAATATCTGTCGAAAATATCAATTTATAAAGTGACTATCCATTGATTGTGTGCATTCAAAAAACTTTTTAATTAAATTGAAACTTGAATTTTACTTTTATAGGCACTTTGAAGTGCTTGAAAATGAGTAAAAAATATTTATATAATATATAAATAATATTGTAAAAAATATTATTTTTGTTTAAAAATTTCAAAATTATTTTTAATGTATCATGCTTTAAACTATTTGCATTAAGTGCGCTCGTATTGTATTTATAAGAAATAAAAATTAGTCTTAAATAAAATAAAATCTTACAAATGAATGAAAAATAAAATTCCCACTGCATTGTAAATTTTTAACATTACATTTAAATATTTATACAAGAGCACTTACAATTAATCCTTTGAAGAATTTTAATCAAAAATAATAAATTTCTATCGTATTAATAATGAAAAAAATAAATAGTTTAGCATTGGTATTATATAATTTATATTTTATTGTATATTCATTTTGATGGTCAATGACAGTGGAAAGATTATTATAAAATCTAGGCTCAAATATTGAATATTTTTATTTGAATTATTTTTGGCTATATGATATTTAAATCTAATGTACTGTAATTGTATATTTTATATACTTTATCCATATTAAATAGTATGAATGACTCTGTTTTCTATTATCAATACACGAATATTCTTTCATTTAATATTAATATAGTTAAGTAATAATAGAATTATAAAGATTATGTCAATATCTAGAGATAGTTATTTGAGAAAGTTATCAAAAATTTATTTGTTTGATCAAGGTCACATTGGTAATTCTATTTTGTGATTCGGTTTGATATGCCATTTATTATTCATAACTAACATAATCTATCATTGAATTTATTGTACAGTATTTCTATTCATTTATTGTAATCCTATTTTGATTATTTCCAAGAATCTACACAAATATTGCATTAACGTATAAATTACACCTAGTTATTATATGCTATGTTTTCAAAATTGATATTTAATACACAATATTAGATTTAAAATTATGTGCTTTTATAAAAGGATTATACATATTACTAGTAATTAGTAAATATATCCAACTGTTATAAGAAATATAGAAAGTAGAGTTTTATACAATGGAAACAATAAGAGTATTTAGAAAGCCATAGAAATGGACAGGATACATAACAAAATGTGAATTAGTGAATGTGAATAATGTGGAATAATACTGTAATCTAGGTTATTTTGCTGACAAAAGTCAAATCAAAGGCTTGAGTTGTTTTCATGTGTAATAAGTGCTCAGACATGAGATCTGTACGACTCATCAATATTCCCAAGTCTTACAGTTATGCACGAAATGCAACATTCAGTGAATGTATAGCCGTTTCTCTGTTAAAATATAAATTAACTCAAATTCTTTACTTTAATTCAAATGTAAATTCAATTTCAGGAAGTATTTTATATATATATACGACAAAAGCTTTTTATTTTCATTTTACTTGCTATTCAAAGTCAACAATATCAATGGAAATTTATATTCTAAGCTACTGTATTATAAATACTACCAGGTTTTCTTAATTTTATTGTCAATCGTTTAAACACATTAAAATAATTCTAGTGCTAGATTTTATATAAATTTCCACTACATGAGTTTTATAATTTCTTAGAATATAAAATTTTTTGCTACGTTTCTATACACTAATATTTAATACTAATAAGTAAGAATACTGAGAATAGTAATACTGAGAATTTATAAAGTTAATTGAATTGTTGTTTTTACCGAACATTATATTCCAGGTCAACAATTCAAAATAATGAATACAATATATATTCAGCCTTTTGTAAATGGAATTATTTCTTATTTAATATATTTTCTATTTATTCTGTGTTTTCGCAAATGAAATAAGCAATAACTAAAGAATTTATTGTTAAGGCAATACTTTCCGTTGAATTTTTTGGTAAACTATTATATAAATCACATAAAAAAGAGAGAGAGAGAGAGAGAGAGTTTATCATAATACGAAAGTTTTTGTAGAAGTTTCACGAATATTCTGTGTTAAGAGCCATTGACTATTGTACTACAATGTGAGACCAATTTATTTATATATAACCAGTGTCTGTTTTTTAAATATCAAGCGTTACCGCAAAAATGATTTTCAATTTCGTGAATTGCATTGGAAATACAATATCTGACAACCAAAATGAGATGAGTCTCTGAAAAAATGCTTTTATTTCTTCTTTAAATGTTGCTTTCGTGTAAAGTTTGAAAGTAATCAGTTTATACATAGTATTTCAAACTGTACACAAAAGCAATATTTAAAGTAGAAATGAAAAGCATTTTTCACGGACTCATCTCATATTGGTTTGTCAGATATACCGAACATATTCATGTATTTACTGAACTGAAAAAATACTATTGAAAACATTTGCTACAAATAGTAACTTAAAAGACAGTATACATTGTATACCGTATACTATACAAGTACAGACTGCACTTTAATACGAATTATGGTCTATTGGACTAATGGTTGAGAAATGGCATTCTTTATATAAGAATATTCTTAGAATTCAATCACGTTTTGGAAATAAATATTTGTGACTATATGTGTGAAATTGTGTATTTACTTATTTGTATTCACACAAAACACACACAACTGTGACATAAATATTATTTTATTGCGTGATATTAAAGATATCAGTGATTTTTATTACAAAATATACACTTTGTACACATCGTATCGATTTCTAACCATTGATTGGCATTTAGCGGCCGTTTTATACCCAATAGTATTGTCTCCCATATTCTGGGAATTCGTGTCCGGAAACATTTTTTATGTGATTTATATAATAGTTTACCAAAAATTCAACGGAAAGTATTGCCTTAACAATAAATTCTTTAGTTATTGCTTATTTCATTTGCGAAAACACATAATAAATAGAAATCTATATTAAATAACAAATGTATAAATTGATTCACAGTTTTATGGGTTTTTGTATATAGTTTTGAAACGATGATTAAGTTTCGAGAATTTATTGATTGTCTTTTTGGTATAAATAATGTTATTTATATTGATATTGATATTATATTTTTATAGCCACTTATATAAAAAATTATAGATTGTTTGCAAATAACTTGAATCGTTTAATTAGATTAAGACTTACTCTGAAGTTATCGCTCATAAAGCAATAGATGACTGGATTTACAAATGAATTACTCATTGATAGCCAATGCGCTGATATAATGAGTGCCACATAAGTCTGATTGCCAGCCTCTGTCACATACAGGCCCTCCAACCACTCCCTCTTGAATGATATCAATAGCTATTCATTAGAAATGACAAGAAATTCAATTTAATTTCCATTTAACTTAAGACACAAACACTTTATTCAAATGAAGGCCTTTAAGGCCATACGAAACACTACTAAAAGTCATGAGAAACTTACGTTCAGTACATGAATGGGAAGCCAACACAAAGCAAAGAGTATGACAATTGTCGACAACATTTTGATTACCTGTTCATTAAGTCAATGAAATGGCAAAAGAGAAATCATTTTTACAAATCAATACATTGTTTACGACAAAATAGCACATTTCGTAATGAATGCAATCAATAAGACATTAATAGATGTGCAAAATAGTGGGCAATGGGGGGGACGGGAGGTTCGTGTTGACTAACTTTGACTTTGGCCAAGTGCTGAGCCTCATCCCTGGCCGCGTCCGCGTTTCCTGGCACTGAATGCCGGATCATTTTGTATCCGACAGCCCCGTAGACGTACGTTAGTATACAGAGTGGAAGTGCGAATGTGATGGTGAAAATGGCCAGGGTGTACATACGCCCCGAGTGCTCCGACCACGTCTCCCGGCAGTCATAGTAGGTCTGATTGGCCACTTGGAAAGGCTCGGCCACCGAGTTGTACCAAATGACTGAACCCAACGCCACCCCTAATATCCATATTATGCACACAATGAACGGCCCCAAAGACTTTGACCACCGACTCGTCCCAAACGGATACATAATCGCTATATATCTGCAATCAGTTTAAGCAATGTTTTTGTTAGTTTGCAATAATCTAATGTTGGTTTTAATTTTCAATAGTTTAGTGGTCTTTTAGGGTAATTAATTATATTAGGATAAAAAAATTTTGTGAAAACATTTTTAATTAAAAGCAAAATAAATATATTTAAAAAAATTGTGCACTGTATGTAACATGGAGCATATTAATAGATTTATTAAATAAATAGCTAAATGTTTTGTGTAGAAAATGTCTATAAACCTTAAGAATTAACTATAAACCAAATAAACAAAACTAGAATATATGATAAATTAATTTAAATATTAATAGGAAACTTGTATAAATGTATGGTCTAATATAAATATGAATTTTAATATTACATTAAGGGATATACATTTTGGGTTAGCATTTATGCTATCTTTCATATAATTTACGCTTTGAGGCAAATATTAAGAAAACAAAATTTCTTTTGAAATTCTGTGTTATATTTTTCTACACATCTCTTATCAAATGTTTTTATAATTTTTGTCACAATTTTTCTACTTTGTTGTCATAGTGTGGGGCGTATTATGTTATAAGATATGCACAAATAAATTGATTTTTAATAAAAATTAAAAATAAAAACCCTTTTGTAAATTCACTACACAAATATGGTTCACAAGAATTTGCATTTTTATACTCAACAGTATTTTAAATACATAAAAATTTTTAATGTATTTTATAAATATCTCATAAAAAGCAAACTTGATTTCAATTGAATAACTTTAAAGTAGTGTAAGTTATAATACAGTATATTATCCTATATAGATACTATACTAGATTTATATAGAAGTTAATACTGGAAAAGTCGTTGAGTTGTTATTTTGATATATTCACCGATATTTTTATATTATAGTTATAGTTATATTTATTGTAATAAATATGGTTTTTCTGTTAGTTATTTAAGAGCTTTGAATTAGTAGCAAAGTTTTGATATATGTTTTTGGGTATTTTTCAGTACAAAAACTGTGAATCAATTTATACATTTGTTATTTAATATATTTTCTATTTATTCTGTGTTTTCGCAAATGAAATAAGCAATAACTAAAGAATTTATTGTTAAGGCAATACTTTCCGTTGAATTTTTTGGTAAACTATTATATAAATCACATAAAAAATGTTTCCGGACACGAATTCCCAGAATATGGGAGACAATACTGTTGGGTATAAAAACGGCCGCTAAATGCCAATCAATGGTTAGAAATCGATACGATGTGTACAAAGTGTATATTTTGTAATAAAAATCACTGGTATCTTTAATATCACGCAATAAAATAATATTTATGTCACAGTTGTGTGTGTTTTGTGTGAATACAAATAAGTAAATACACAATTTCACACATATAGTCACAAATATTTATTTCCAAAACGTGATTGAATTCTAAGAATATTCTTATATAAAGAATTTCTCAACCATTAGTCCAATAGACCATAATTCGTATTAAAGTGCAGTCTGTACTTGTATACTGTCTTTTAAGTTACTATTTGTAGCAAATGTTTTCAATAGTATTTTTTCAGTTCAGTAAATACATGAATATGTTCGGTATATCTGACAAACCAATATGAGATGAGTCCGTGAAAAATGCT